TAGAGGTCATTAGAGGTCATTAGATGGTCAAACACTGGATTTGTTGCTACTACTGCATTCCCTGGGTTCCTAGCTTTCGTTTGATATGCATAAAGCCATAGTTAAAACATTTTCATTTTTGGAGGTCATTTAGGTCATTTGAGGTCGTAAGAGGTCATTAGAAGGTCATACACTGGATTTGTTGCTACTAGTGTATTCCCTGGGTTTTTAGCTTTCGTTTGATATGCATAAAGCCATGGTTGAAACATATTCTATTTGTGGAGATCATTAGAGGTCATTAGAGGTCACTAAAATTCAATTTGATTATATTTTAGGAATTTCGATCACTAATTAGGCGTTCAGCCAAAAAATTGGAAGATTTGAACCAAAAATGAAGGCAGGGCCCCCCCCCTACATAAAAAAACATGAAATAAGTGGGATTAAAGTTAATTCTAAATTATACACACAAAAACAAAATTGTTGAAAAGGAAGAAACATAAAATCGACTGAAAAACGAAAAAGTAAAGACAACGATTCAAGAGAATTGCAAAAGAAAATTAACAGAAAATATGATGATAAAAAGAAAAGTGTTAAAAAAGAGAAATAATAAGAGAATTAAAGGCTCAAATGAACTGCATTCTCAGCTCAACCAACATGTCTACTATAGTCAGGTTTCAAGTAACTTTCATTTTTAACTATTTTTGAAGAATGACTATGTTCTTATCATACTTAATAGACGACATGTTTAGAAATGGGGCCCTTGTCCATTATCTGATCTGGAGCTATAAATGTAAATGGCCCCAAAATCAAAATTGTCCAGACACTCTCTTTAAAGGGAATGATTTATTACCTAAATACTGTCCAAGCAAACAATCAATGAAGAGCTGATGAGGGGATGAAAGAATAGAATCAAAGACCCGTAAAGCATCTATTTTAAGCTCTCCCGGCTCCGACCAAAACTCCAATATCTTAACAAAAATTGATGCTTTATTGATAAAATCGTTCTTCAGTCCTCCTTCAAAAATAATTCAACCCCCCACCACCCGCAACTTTAGGGTAAAAAGTTTGAATATAAAAAAAATGCCAATTAAAATAAACATTTTTTTACATGCTTAGTTACCTGATTAAAAATAGAAGACTCAAACTCAGATTCCGCTGAAAAACATTTTTATTTTTACAAATTTTCATTAAAAAAAAAAAAAAATTTAAAAAATGTTCAAAAAACGTTGTAAAGGTTTAACAGATTAGGCAAATGCTTTAGTAAGGGCTGACATCAATACATGCAAGCAAATATAAATCTCTTAAAAAAAAAGGAACTAAAACTGCGGATTCGAAATTAGATCATAATTTTGTACTGTTTATTTCATTTTAAACTAGCTTGGGAACCCAGCTTTGCCTGGAAACTAAATTTTCTCTGTCATGAGTTATGATCGCACATACAAAAAATAACATAAAAAAACAGACAGACAACACAGAAATTACTGATAAAAAGATGCATCAATATTCAACATGCTAATAATATTCCCCTCTTACCAAAGATGTTTCTAGTAAGATGATCTCGTAACAAACTTGACTTCAGGTGTGACCAAGTCACGCAGATATACGCAATACAACGCAATTCCTACAAATCGCACATTAATTGATTTGGACATGACGAAAATTAAATCTTTATCACCTTATCTTTGGTTTCTTCTGCCAGAATTCCTCTGAAAATAAGTTGCATTAGAAATATCAATAAAAATATAGATATTGAATCAATATTGCCAAGAACTGTCCGTATACATGAAGTATTAATAAAGCCATAAATATTGACTCCATATTAACTCAGTAGACTGCATATAAATTATAAATATATTCTAAAGAACAAATCTAGGTGTTTTGACTTGAAACCTGATAGGTCATTTTCAACAACATGTGGGACTACCTGTATACAGTCTAAATGAAACTAGGACTAACCTGGATACAGTTTAAATAAGACTAAGGACTACCTATTTACAGTATAAATAAAACTAAGGACTTACCTGTATACAGTATAAAATGAAACTAAGGACTACCTTTATACAGTATAAATGAATCTAAGGACTACCTTATACAGTATAAATAAATCTAAGGACTACCTGTATACAGTATAAATGAAACTTAGGACTACCTGTATACAGTATAAATGAAAATAAGGACTACCTATGTACAGTATAAATGAAACTAAGGAAAGGACTACCTGTAGTGTATACAGTATAAATGAAACTAAGGAAAGGACTGCCTGTATACAGTATAAATGAAACTAAGGACTACCTATATACAGTTTAAATGAAACTGAGGGAAAGTCTATCTGTTTACAGTATAAATTAAACTAAGGACTACCTATAAACAGTATAAATGAAAATAAGGAAAGGACTACCTGTATTCAGTATAAATGAAACTAAGGACTACCTATATACAGTATAAATGAAACTAAGGAAAGGACTACCTGTATACGGTATAAATGAAACTAAGGACTACCAATATACAGTATAAATGACACTAAGGAAAGGACTACCTGTATACAGTATAAATGAAACTAAGGACTACCTATATACAGTATAAATGAAACTAAGGAAAGGACTACCTGTATACAGTATAAATGAAACTAAGGAAAGGACTACCTGTATACAGTATAAATGAAACTAAGGAAAGGACCACCTGTATACAGTATAAATGAAACTAAGGACTACCTATATACAGTATAAATGACACTAAGGAAAGGACTACCTGTATAAATGAATAAGCAATCTCCCTATTTCCCCCGCTATAGATTCAGCAATCAGTTTATGTGAACTGACGACTAGTGCATACAGCAATTCAAAACATAATTTCTTTGTGATACTTGATAGAATCTGATTGACGAGCAGACCACTGTAGTCTGAGGGGGGGGGGACAAGCCGTACCCGCATAGCCTCCATCCCGCAATTTCCTCACAAACATAGACTTGCAGTAACGCACTCACCCGTAGCGCTTCCTTAACCGCACCCATATATCTATCGGCAAAATGGCTTTACTTTTGAATGCTCTTTAAAGAGGAATCCAGCGTTAATGTAAGATTTTAAAGACGTAATTGCATCTATTATAACATAAGCATATTAATCATATTTTTTTTTTGGCAATATAAATAACGTTCTCGCTCACTGGGACAAAAGCTGTGATTTATTGTGATTTCCTCCCACAATGTAATATTTTGTACGTGTCTCTAATAATGTTTTCTAAGGTGAGAAGAAATTCAATTTTTACAAAAAAACACGCAGTTTTGCATGCGATTCAGTTTTAAATTATCTAAAATCAGATAGATGGATTCATACATAGATATATTTAAATAATTTCTAGTAAAATTCAAATTTCTCTCTTCCTTCAAAACATTTTTAGAGAAGAAAAACATCTGCCGACATGTACAATATATTGTTTTGGGAGAAAATCGTAAGACATTTTACCGGATGATATATGGGTGCCGCAAGTCTATGTTTGTTATAATTGCGGGATGGAGGCTATATGGGTGCGGCTTGCTTCCCCCCCCCTTTGAAAAATTGAGTTAAAGGGGCTGTGAGCGTAATTTCACCTGACCCAAAATGCAAAGATGACAATGCCCGATTCACAAAGGTAGCCTTGAAACCTATATCTGATAAAAAAATTGGAAAAAATTGTAATTTTTATAGTTAAAAAAGTATTTAAATTTAATAATTCCTAAGTGTTTTCATGTTTTCAGTAAAAAAAGGTTTAAGGGTACCGTTGTTAATTGGTGTATATTTACCCCATTCAGCACGTTTTACATTGAATCCATAACCAAATGGAATTCTACGGGAAAATAAATTACTTCTCATATTAGGAATACTTTTTTGCCCTGAGAAATAGTCTATCCCACACCTTCCACTTAGTTCTATCGTTGAATTTTTTGTTCGACATTTTTTTCTTTCAAATCCCATTTGATTTCCCCCCCCCCCACAAATCCTTAGAGATAATTCATCTGTCAAAGAAGAAATATATTTGTATCTAGATTTAAAATTGATAAATAAAAGAACTGATTGATTGATTGTGTATGCCTAAATTGTTTACAAAATCTAGGAAACTTAAAAATGAGATTAACTCTGACCGTCCCGGAAACCATTCCTCCTCAAACTCTAAAATAATTAGAAGATGGAAATATCACCTCTCTTAAACTTTTCATAGATATAAAGATAAGGTAGAGTAGGAACTGGATGCACAAATGAATCTTTTAGGTTTGACGAACACTAAACTGGAACCATCATCTTAAGACGATAAAAAACAAAGCCAATAGTGCAATTTTTGCATTGTCAAGAGTAAAAAATATTGTTCCTAGCAATATTAAACTAACCATTTACAACTCTTTATTTCGATCATATATAGTTATTCTATTTATTTTGCATAAGACAAGATCAAATGGCACCCTGATCTCTAATGTTAATCCTCAAATCTACAGTAATCAGCAAGAGCTCAGTAGCTATAACGGGCGGATAACAACCGTCTCCAGGATATTTTGTCATCTAGAAATAATTGAAAGTTTTTTTTTTGATTTGAACCCCTGAACCCACCGGGGCCCTCCTCCCACTCTAAACCCGTCCCCCCTTTCCCTGGTCTCTGCTAAACTGACAACAGACCAAAGAACAGGTTTCAGTTTAACTTCTGTATATCGTACATATTAAGGATTTTAGGACCCCCGCCCTTACCCCCGCTCTCACAAAATTATATATTGCTCGGCCCAGAAATTATCTAAGCTTATTCTTTTAACCATAAATTTAAAATATATAATTTAAAGTATATTTACGGCCGTGAGGGACTTTTTATCATAAAATCGTAATTTTTTTACTTTTAAACCAATTCTCTTGTCTAAAAAACTTTTGTCTTGGATGTAATCGTTCTTTACTAAGAACGGAACCGCCGGGGGGGGATGGAAACCTTCTTGACTAAGAACAGAACAAGATGGATAGAACTGTTCTTCAACTAAGAACGCCAAGAACGGAACGGGTTGACGGTTCTTCTACTCAGAACGGAACGGAACGGGACAGAACGGAACAATTGAAAAAAAGGAACGAAAACGGAACGATCTAGCTGAAGGTCCTCGTTCTAGAACGGAACGATTTCAAAAAAGTTGGAAGGTGCCCAGCCCTATTCTTGGTGAGTTAGAAATCAATGAAATAAACAAATATTTTTTTTTGTATTTTAGTATGATGAAAAAATCCATATTACTTTATGTAAAAAAATTAAAATAAGAAGCAAAAAACTTTGTCTTGTAATAAAACAAAACTTCAACAATATTTCTCGACACTAAGCCCAAGATGGATCTGACAAAAAAATTGAAGCCAACGAGACTTACAACTTTATAACAGTTATTTAAATTCTTTTTCTAAGTTTGAGAAAATCTTGAAAGAGAAATGTTTAAATGAAATTGATAAACATTTTTTCCCCTTATAATAATCTTAAATCAATTTAACTTGTAACGACGAGTTAATCTGAAAAATAAACCTTTTTTAATGTCTACCTGGAGAGTAGAGTTTATGAGCCTGTATCCAGTTGACCTCCAGCTCCTCTATTCGACCAGCCTCTACTCCGACAGGAATACTCTAAATTTAAATGTCAAAAAAGTGATGATTTTTTTTATTGATTGAAATTAAAAAGTTAAATAATTTAATATCAACTGTATGCTGTAACTTTCTAAAACCTAGCTGAGCTGACCCACTGATCTCTACCTGGAGTAATGAGCTGGTCCCCTCATATCTACCTGGAATAATAAGCTGAACCCATTATCTATACCTGGAATATTGAGCTGACCGTCTAATCTCATCTAATCTCTACCAGGAATATTGAGCTGACCCTCTAATCTAGTCTAATCTAATCTCTACCTCGAATAATAAGCTGACCCCCTGATCTATATATGGAATAATGAGCTGACCAACCTGATCTATACCAGGAAAAATGAGCTAACCCCCTGATCTATACCTGGAATAATGAGCTGAACCCTTATCTCTACCTGGAATATTGAGCAAACCCCCTAATCTCTACCTGGAACAATGAGCTGACCCTGCTGTTAATACTATTCACCAGATTTTCTAACAGGGCATTAGCTGATTCATCACACTCCAATCCTTAAATCAGAAGATTTAAAATTCAAGGGGGTCAGATGGTAAACTGAATCTATTCTGAAATTAACCATAAAGAAGTCAATTAAAAAAATTCTATTAAACAAGTATTTCTCCTACCACAATCCACATACAAAAAAGGGGGAGAAATAAATGCTTTATAAGGGTTGAAAAGAACTTATTCTAAATACCTGAGATATTGATAAGATTCTGCATGGCCCGACATGAGATAAAATAATCAGGACTATCCAGGTAGTTGAGTAGAGCAGTAGCAAGGTAGTGTTTGCTTCGAACTTCCCCCAAAGCTGTAAACAACAAGAAATAACATATTTTACGGTCAGCAAGATCATTGTCTTAGATTAGAAAAAAGTACATCAGAGTTAATTAAATAAAGTATGTTGAGTTTATGTAAAAAATTAATTGACTATTTTTCAAAGCACAATTTCACCTTTTAGAATGAGGTAAATTGATTTTCTCTTGGGGAAATCATCATTACTTTCTTATTCTATTTGCCTCTCTGATCAAAAGTCAAAAGAGGGTCAACTTATACACCCCCCCCCCCCCCAACAAAAAGCCCTTGCAATTATATAATCTGGTTCGTGCTTTACCTTTTATCACATTTAAAGCAAGACAATCAACTTGCTTCAGGTTAATCATGGAGCTGCTTCGACTGCATTTCAGATAGATTTGATCATACTGTGAGATTCAGAAAACTGTGGAACAATTTGACGATATTAAAGAAATGAAAAGGGATGACAAAACTTGCATCTTAGATGTAAAATTTTTAATCCCCCCCCCCCCCTCCCAGGGTATTAGAGGACTATTCTGTCCCTAGATCTACTGCTGCCAAGCTTGGAACCATCCTTTTCATCCTCAGGCAGGAAAACCTAGTACAAATTATAAAAGAACAGTAAATTTTCCAGTTTGAGAGAATTTTTAACACGCATTTTTACTCAATCTTAGTTTTAAAAAGTTTCTTATTTGTTCCCAGGCAAATAAGTAACATTTTATACCAACAAAGATTTCCCTTTTAATTTCACGGATTTTATAAAAAAAAATCGCACAATTTTCTTAAACTGAATAAATTCATCCAACTGACTTGTGTAATCATTTGAGACATTATGTTTTTTTATTTTCACTTTTTTTTAATTCAAGATTTTTAATTACACACTAAACTACACTACACACAACAAAAAAGTAAAAATCCCGACCAAAAAACATATTGTCCCGCATGACAAGACAGTTACTTAAATACAAATTTTACATTTTGATTAATTAGGATATTTTTCAAAATGCAATATGAGCTGAAAAGGGATATGTTCTAAAATTAAATCAATATTTATCAAAACTAATTTCCACATCTTATGAAAAGTTTAAAGTACACATTTCCTTCTTTAATATTTAGTTAATCGATATTCCTTTTAAAAAAATTTTTGAGTTGAAAGATACATTCGCTTAAAGATATTTAACAAAGATACCTTAAAATTTAATGAAATAAAAACGACATATCTTTTAGAACTTAAACATTACACATGTAATGGTTTCATTGTTACGTTGAAAATCTCTTAAAAGTTATTCTAGTGGTCAGTGGAGTCCTTTTAAGTGTGAAGTGTAGAAAAAACATTAAATGTTCAAAAAAGAACCAAAAACATTATGCCCAACTCTACCTGGACAAGATGAGGAGATTTCTGAATTTTATCACAGATAAGAGTCAGGAAATCAAGTTCCTGAGACTCAGTTGGTGACGCCTGGGAAAAAAATACTAGATAAAATTCATGATACAGTTTGAAGAGACGGACGAGGGGGGGATGGTGCACACTTAAAGCCTTGTCAGGCCCTCCTCCATGGCGACCCTAGGAGTGAGGAAATGTAGGATCCTTTACATATTATTGCAGATGAGTCAATTTTTAAATGAAGAAGACATAATTGATTATTTAATTGGCTGATATATTAATTGATTGATTGATTAATTGATTATTTAATTGGCTGATATATTAATTGATTGATTGATTAATTGATTATTTACATGGCTGATATATTAATTGATTGATTGATTAATTGATTATTTAATTGGCTGATAAATTAATTAATTGATTAATTAATTGATTATTTAATTGGCTGATATATTAATTGATTGATTGATTAATTGATTATTTAATTGGCTGATATATTAATTGATTGATTGAATTGTTTATTACCTTAGCAAGAGAGCAGAGAAGAGTCAGCCTGCAGAGAGGAAGATGACATGCTGTCTCATATAGTAACGGATATTTAACCTGTGTACAAATTTAAATAATAAGCTACCACGGATTTGCCAAAAGTTCATAGAAGTTAACAAAAACATTATATTTTCAGCCGCTTCCCAACATTATTTAGCAGTCATTAAAGCATGATAAAGATGGAAATAAACCATCTTTTCACAAATATTCAAATTCAAAATGTCTGTTCAGATATAGATTAATGTCTAAATTATGATTTACCTGTTCTAGAAGAAAGATAAAAAGTTTGAAGATGATTGGTCTGATTCCAGGGGGAGTATCCGCCTAAACAAATATACTTCTTTCACCATATTTATATACAGGGTGCGTGCAGTATTCGTAGACCAAATTGAAATCTCTCTAAAACTTAAAATAAAAATTTTCTTGATAAAGTTTTTTTTAGAGATGCTTTTGTGGGACCTCAAATGACCCCAGGAAAGGTTTCTGGATGATCAAAATTTCAAAAATTAGCGTCCAACAAAATTCGACTCTCATTAAATTTAGATTTTTTAAAATATTGTTTTATTGTTTCACTGAATGTATACATTACAAAGAGAAAATCTTCACAATTGTCCGTTTGTATCCAATAAACGTCAAAATGCTGAAAGATTAAAGGGAGTGACCGGGTATGTAAGGTAGTTGAATTGAGTATGCAGTGTTGTGGAAAACTTCTTTCGGATTCATTTGAGACACATAAAACCTTTTAAAGATCTGCAAATTCAACGTTCAAAACTCCTACTTTGGGGGTGGATACGTTTTCAGAATTATTTTTTTTTAATTATTAAATAACGACAACGAAAAATAAACTAAATATTATACAGTAATCTAATTAGATGGTTATGAACATATTTCTCAAAAGAAATTTGTCAATAAATCAATGCTAAAATCGATTATTTCGTTTTCTTCATTAAATTGAATTTCTTATTTTATTTGAATTTATTCGCAGATTTCTTTAAATTCTTCAAATGTCGTCTTTTCAATAATAATTCTAGAAAATCTGCTAAAATCTTTGTGAATAATGAGAAAATAGAAACTAATAATTGAACAAGATTACCCATTTTCGATGATAAGATTAATTTTTATTTTCTCAACATGTTTATTGTAGAACTTTTTCATTTTATGTCGTCGTTATTTAATAATTAAAAAAAAACTAATTCTGAAAACGTATTCACCCGGCCCCCAAAGTTGGAGTTTTTTGAACGTCAAATTTGCGCTCAAACTCAGGATTTACAGATCTTTAAAAGGTTTAATATGTCTCAAATGAATCCAAAAGAAGTTTTCCACAACATTGCATACTCAGTTCAACTACCTTACACATACGGTCACTCCCTTTAAGCAAAAGTTGAAATAGAAGGTGAACGCAAAGTTACCTGACAGCCTAGTTTTTGGATATATACTTTGCTAGTCTATTTTTCTGTTTATGTGTATCCAAAAGATTGAAAAATGCCTGGACCGATCACAAGACAAAAATTTTTAAGGCAACTGATATGACCCCAGCTAGGAAAGGTGGAAGATTAAAAATGTGGCCCGAAAAAAATGACAAATTAATTTTGGAAATGCACTAATTTTTGAGATTTGAGAACGATTAATATTGGCGACTTTCATCTTTTTTTTTATGAATATTCTTAGTTTAGATTTATATCAACATACTTGTATATTTTTAATGCTACATTTTCAAGAAAGCAAATAGAAATAAAAGGTTAACACGTCTGACATGGGCAAAAGTAGAAAATAAAACATTTGATCTGGTCATATTGAAAGTCAATAATTAGCTATAGCTAGCCAAACGACTGGACAAAATTGGCTGACCATTTAATAGAGAACCCGTACACTACGTACCCCGGGGGGTTAATTAGACCAAAAATTGTTTTAAATTTTTTGAAATTCCACGGGAAACTCCGGTTTCCCAAGCTAGACACGAAAAAGAATTGAATTTCCGGACCTGTCCAAGCGTGACCAGAATATTTAGAATGTCCTGACCAAGGAAGAACTCCAAACATGGTCCAAGCTCTCCAGTATCGACATTCTCCTTTATTAAAATTGTTTATGAGCATGTATTGTTAGTATAAAAGTCAAATAATCATTTTGCATTTGAAGACAGTAAAATGTTTTTTTTTTCCAAAACTGCTACTGAAGTGATAAATTGCATTTATGGTTGATTGTAAATCACAAATGTTTTATTAGGGATGTGTATCATTACTTTTGCTAAAATATGAGATTTATAAGAGGAATAAAGAAAAAAAGGAAAAGGGGAAAAAAGGGGGAAGAGGGAAATTATTTTTTATCTGCTGGTCTTGGCTCACTTCGAAAACTAAGCACACCCTTTTATAATAAAAATAAAATACGATATTTACCCCTCCCCCAAAAGGGAAAGGGAAAGGGGGAAGAGGACCGAGGACATGGTTATTGAACTTTAAGGGCTTCAAAACGCTCCACTTTCTCGAAAATTATTGGAAAAAAGGGGGAGAGGGGGGGGGGACTTATGAGTCTCTTGAATCAATATACAACCCGTTTTTAATTCAAGTGACAACATTGTTTAGGAGATTATTCAAATATTTTACATTATTAAACTGTTATTCCTGATCTTTTATCAGAAAGAATTTTCTTTTAAAAATGTTACCAGTTCTGTAACAAGAATTGCCAGAATTTTGTTTAAATGATGAATAAGCCGAGTTGCCTCAATGGGTTCAGCCTGAACAACATTATTTAAATATTTAAACATTTATTTCTATAAAAGAAAGGATAAGTATAAGTCAATAGCTTTAAACGAGAACAAAGTCATCGATTGTAAAAAAAAAGTTTTTATATACTTGTTTACAGGTCAATTATGCTTGTTTTTGGTCAATTATTCTAGTTAAAATGTCAATTATTCTCGTTAATCGAGCAATTATTTTTGTTCATAGGTCAATTATTCTTACTAATAAGTCAACTATTCTAGTTCATAGGTCAATTATTCTTGTTCATATGTCAAATATTCTTGTTCATAGGTCAACTATTCTTATTCCTAGGTCAACTATTCTTGTACAAAGGTCAATTTTTCTTGTTAATATGTCAATAATTCTTGTTCGTTGTTAATTATTTTAGTTAATAGGTAAATTACTCTTGTATATAGGTCAATTATTCTGGATCAAATGTCAATTATTCCTGTTCGTTCATAGGTCAATTATTGTTATTCATATACCGATTATACTTGTTTATTCCGGTCAATAATTCCTGTTCATAAGTGAATATTTGTCTTCGTAGGTCAATTTTTCTTGTTCATTGGTAAATTTTTCTTGTTCATAGGTCAAATTTTCTTGTTCATGTATTCGGTAATTTATATTTGTTCACAGGTCAATCATTCAAGTTCATATTAATTATCCTTGTTCAAAGGTTAATTTTTCTTGTTCTTACGGTAGTAAGAGATTTTATTAATAAATTGAAGATGACTTTAGATTTCAATTTGTTTATATTAAACTGTTAAACAGTATGGATACTCAAAAACATGGAAACAAAGATAAGCTGTCAATTAAAAAAGGTTCTTTTTACTTACTTGCAAACTTGTAATTTGAAAAAAGCTTATTATATTAAAACTTACATAAAAAAGTCGTCTTCATTGTATTGATATATTGCCTACCACCGTAGGTCATTTATTCTACTTCATAGGAATATAGTTCTTGTTCATTGGTCAGTTATTCTTGTTCGTAGATTTGATTTTCTTGTTCATTGGCCAATTAATTGTTAAAATTTGGTCAATTATTATTGATCATTGAACGCATGGCACATAGCCAATGGTTCTTTTGATTTATTCTTAAGAATTATTAGTTACATAAAAAAGATAATATTATATTTACCTTTAAAGTAAGAACTGATTTGGTGCTGTAGTAATCAAGAAACCTGGAAAAATACAAATTCTTATATTTTGTATTTTAGGAAAATAAATTTCTTTTTTAAAGATAAAAAATACATTAAAGAGAATAGCTGCTTGGATTTTAAATACATGGTATCCCACATCAATCTAGACCGCGTCAACGGGTCTTATTTGCGATTTGGGGGACAAATCAGAAAATTTAAAGAGAATGAATCATTTAGAAAATTTAAAAAGGCTATTAAAATGATTTTTTTGCAGAAAATGCTCGATTGTTTTAGTATTATGTGCGTATTTTGGCGTTAAAGATTGGAGATAATATAATACGATATGGGACGCTCTGTATAATAAACTTTGAAACTTGCTAAATAACCAGACATTTTTTAGTTTATTAATGTACAATTAAAATTTCTAAAATATTCAATTGGTTTCAAAATTTACATAATTTTCATAACGAAAAGAGAGGGGAAGGGGCACCGATGGGGGAAAGTAAATCATTGATAGTAAACTCACCTAGTCCAATGATCTTGAAGATCATGCAAAGGTAGAATATCAGGAGCCACCAGCCGACCTAATCATTAAACATTAAGGTCAAATTAACCTGGGAAAATGCCCTTGCTTCAAAGCAAAAAATGGTCATTGAGACAAAGCCACTTGTGAACTTGAAATACTACTCTAAGGACATTGGCACCTGCCCGTGGAACTAAGCCACTTATATTCTTGCCAAAGGACAAAGACAAAGTTATATGATAAAATTAAGAACAAAAATAATTTATTATTTTAGCATATTTACCTAATGCTCCCAACATTGTTTTTTTCCAATTTATAACCAATGTTACATCATTGATCTGAAAGATATAGAACTTCATCAAATGTTAAAAAAACTAGAACAAAAAAAAATAACTTGTATTTAATTTGATATTGAACAGTTACTTAAAAAGGCAAGGCATGTAAGTTTTTGTACGTTTTCAGATATTGTCATGAAAAGAACAGTTAAGTGGTCGCCTAAACTTTTGATAAGATTTCTTTTCTTCAGCTAAAATATCCTTGATTTCGTAAGTGCACCGTTAGCAAGTGATGGCAAATTTCTAAAGGAAATATTGGGACCCCCCCNATTGAAATGAGATTAGTTGGGTTCGTATAACAATATGTATTTTCTATAATTTATTGAAATGAGATTAGTTGGGTTCGTATAACAATATGTATTTTCTATAATTTATTGAAATGAGATTAGTTGGCCGTTTGATAATTAACTTAACATGAAATTTCAGCAACTTAAAAAAATATGTTGAAAGTATGGTCGAATGGTTTGTCAATATTATTAGCGCAAACCCCGCAAGTTATATTTTGATATTGGAAAAGGGTCTGATCAACCGGACTAAGTTTGATCAGCAGGAAATTCATTGTGCTCGTTAAATATTTTCAGACATCATTCTATTCAAACCAGGGTTTAATATTACGTCATAAATACAGAAATTTTATGTATGACATACATTACTAACATTATAGTTCCGTTCAATATTATTATTGAAAAGTTTTAATGATTTAGTGATTATCTTGTCTCAGTCTAAAATCGAAGACGAAACAAAATGTAAGGCTACGGGGCCTCGCGCATGAAAGCACGCAACGGAAAGCAGGCAACGAAGTTGCAAAACACGATTAAAATGAATATTCGCTTTGTTTGTGTCAAACGTCAACAGAAAATATTTACGTTTGTTTAAAATCCATGTTTAGCCGGTTGTTGTTTAGTACAAGACTAAAAATTATTTGTTTTATTCTGTTGTTTTAGACGTGCAGTGTTATGAAAACGGCTCGAAACGCCTTAATACAGAAGAATGGGATTCAAAAAACTAATTCAATGTGTCGTCTTCTATCAACTTAAAATTTAAAAGACATATTCCAACTATATTCACAGGCATGTCCCCAGCGCTCGGCCCTCGAGTGTTGGACGGCTCCTCACCCCTATCAGTTTTGTATCAATTTATTTTTCAACAAATTTATTATTTATATTTTTACTATTCAGGGTCAGGTTAGGTTAAGACATTTTCTTGGCCGAGCGCTGCGGCCACGGTTTAGGTTAAGCTATGACACTTACTTTTATTTAGGGTTAGGTAATGGTTACTTATTTCAGAAAGAAATCAAGTTTGGTTAGCTTTTTTTCAGGTCCTGACTAAATAAGGAGAATAGTCCCGGTAAGATGGATGAATGGCGAGCTACGATCCAAGCAATGCAGTCGGAGGGGTTTAAAGAACCGGAACCACCAAGCAATAATCGGTGATAATTTCGAATGTTATTTTACTTTTATTTCAGTATTGACTTTTGAGATGAATACTTTTTAATCAGGGTTAAAATCATTTCCATCTAATTTTCTATAAACTTGTCTTAATCTTATTTCTCAACTGTAGCATATTATATATATAATTTGCTATAATATCACAGAACATACGGTCAGAAGGCGGGTCTTAACATACCTTGTCTAACATAAATGGTTAAGTCACAATTCATATAACTATTACCTCTTGGGTGCTACGTAACACTTTTTCCCGGTTCTTGGAAATTCTGAGAATTAGGAAGTAAGATAGTTTCATAATGTCTTTCTTCGAACCCCCCTCCCTCCCCCCACCCATTCTATCAATTTTTTAGATGTATCTATTGTGGAATTCATTGGTTGTCGTGTGGGTGCATCGCCCGGCCCCTTAATTGCAGCGCTCGGTTTCCTAGCCGCAGTGCTCGACCCAGAAATTGTTTGAACCGTACTTAACCAAAAAATAATACAAAATAAATATTACTTTCTCATGTTCAAAATAATTGAAATCGAGGCCTATATAAAAAAGTGATACTGGATGGGGGGTGGGTGGGGTGTAAATCGTATACTTAAATGAACCCATTTCTATAGCGCCGAGTTTAAACACTGAATTTTCATGATGAAATTCTGATGTCATGATGAAACAAATGATCAGTTAAAGAATGCCCTTTTCAGAAGTAGCAGAGGTAGAGGTGGAGGAAGAGGAGGGTCTAGGGCAGGAATCTGGAACCAAAGAGGGGACAATGCAAGCCGAAATCAACAACAAAATGTCAACAAGAATCAGGGTAACCAAAACCGGAGAAATGAAGGAGGTCGTAATCCAGATATGGGAGGTCAACATCAAAATGTCAACAAGAATCAGGGTAACCAAAACCTGAGAGATGAGGGAGGTCGAAATCCAGATATGGAAGGTCATGGTAGTCAACCCCAGGACCGCACAAGGTACAAATAAAAAATTAAACATTTTGCAATGCATATAATTTGGAATAACTTGGTGCCTAAAAATGTGAAGAAACCCTGTCCCCTCTCTCCCTAGTTCTACTTTATTATACACTAGCTTGAGAACCCAGCGTTTCCCAGGGTGCTCATTGTACTTATACCGTTTAACCGCGCTTGATAGTTAATTTCGATTTCAGCTATTTTTCCTAAAGTAAGTTCCACTCAATTTAGAATCTCAATCCAATCTGAGAACATTCCCGTGGGTCTCCCGAGTTCGCTAATCAAATTTCAAGGCAAAAAGGTCAAAATGTTGCTGAGTTATGATCGGAATACTAACAACTTGATATATGTATTGTATAGAATATTTTTTTAGGATTAGCCAACATGCGGGCATGAGCCAAGTAGATTTCTATCAGAGTTTAAAGAAGAATACAATTCCATCCCGGAACAATGATATTGATCCAGAAGGATACTATGATGAATACGCAAACCAAAATATTGACGCAGTTATGAATGATATCAACTCAATGCGTAAACTCCAACAAACTGGAATGTTGGGACAAGGAATGGATATGATGAACCAAGGTCCTGTCTCAATGAACATGAATGATAGCTCGTTGGGAATGGCTCCAGGGATGATGAATAGTCAAGGACGAATGGGAATGATGAATAGGATGAATGACGGTTCAGGAATGATGAATAGGATGAATGAAGGCCCTGGGATGATGAACATGATGGGTCCGGGGATGATGAATATGAGTTCGGGGATGAACAACATGAATAACATTGGGGTTGGGATGAATTCTAGCCCTATGATGACCAGCGTCTTAAACATGATGAACAGTATACCTGGTATGCAGGAAGGGAAAGTTGACAGCTTTATACTGATAAATCAGGAAATTATGATATTGTCAAGTTTAATTTACTGACAGTTTTAAACTTTCTTCGGTCAACAAAAATAAACGAATTATTTCAAGAATTATTATTGTAATAATTTAACTTTTACTGCTGCTATTCTCACACAGTACATTTAATTGAATGACTAATTAAGGAGACAATTAACGTAATTTGATCTTGTAACCCTCCATGCAAGGATGGCTATGGCAGATTCGCAAAATACCGTAAAACATTGTCTGATTAAATATGAATTAGCTATCAATTTAAGAGTTGTCACGCCACTTCTCCTAGTTGTACCTGTCCTAGGTAGTAGGAGGCCGGGTTGGTTCAGATGAAATCTCACCAGTAAGGGTCGGATACAACTGTAGGCGGTCTGGATTGCCCAAAATGTGGCTTCTTGCAGATCTTATCCTCATGGAATATTCGTACCACAATATTAGACATTTGTAAACATAAAGAACGACAATATCTTTCAAATTATTGATCAGATAAAGGCTTAAAGGGTACTGTTGTCAATCGGCATTGTCATCTTAGCATGGAGGGTCTTTTGTAATTACGCGTAATGTCTCTTTACAAATTTTCATTTTTACATCCTAAGATTTTTTCAAACTCTCACCATAAGTCAAGTTTTGTACTTAAAATATTCCCCAAGAATCATAAAAATACTCCAATATATTATAACTTTTGATAAAGGTTGGACAATTTGGCACTTTTTTGATAAACATGTTCAGATCCTTTCAGCACGTGTCTTAAAAGTTTCTTTAATAAAAAGCAAAACAAGAATGTTAAAAAGTGTCTCAGTTTTAATTTATGAAGTGCATAACGTTTTTGTAAATAATAAATTACAAATGTAAACAAAAAAAATTTCCCCCCAAAATATGTCGTTATGGGTACCAAAAATGTTTCTTTGTAAGTTTATTGGAACAATTTTTGCTGCGTGTTGGTTATTTTTGAAGAAGAAAAAAAATTCATATTGTCTCAGGAACAGTTTTAATAGGGTATTTGTTGTGGAAACCTTGTGCCAAAGGGGGTGGGGGATATCTGCAAAATGTTATTATCATAATCGCCTATTAGGCTAGAGAATTGATCAGCGACGTGAAGGGTATGATCGAACTTGATGACAGAAATTCAAACGATCCCGAAACTCGAGAAGTCCTGAAACTCATCTCATTTAAAGAAAGGGAACTGAACCAGAGAGAGGAACGTCTGCATCGAGAAAATTTCGTTGACGAATCCTCCCTCTTCAGCCGAAAATCCGAACTTGAGTTCGGAACGCGAATTGAAACAAAGAAAAGGCCGACTCTGCTAGGCGGCCCCCCTTTCCCAACCGTGGACGCAATAGAACAGTTTGAACTAAATAATACATTTAACACACCGGAATTTGTCCGTGACACCACGATGTCGGATTTAAGGGGATCGCACAATGAACCAAGTGTATTTGCCTGGGATAACAGCATGGACAGAATGAGTGGAGGAAGAAATGAACTAGATTACGGAGTAGCGGGAGGGAGCAGAGGTGCTAGCAGGGACAGAGATCGTAAAGGAGAAGGGAGATTAAAAGGGAGATTACCGGATTTGAAAACTGAATTGAAAACGGATTTGAAAAGGGAAATCGAAGGCAGGAGAGGAGGGGGAGGAGGAGGGGGGCGTGGAGGAGGAGGGGGACGTACAAGAGGTGGGGATGTAGGAGGTAATAAGCATGAGATGGATATACGTGAGTTTGATTGGCGAGGGTTAAACCCTGAAGAGTTTGATCATATTCCTCCTCGTTTCCTTTACTGTTACGACTGCAATGTAAAGGTAAGGGAATGATTTTAATGAGTTTAACTAATAAACAATGTCGTAAAACAAGCATTTTATTTGGCCAAGGTTTGATACATTTTCTCAATTGTTCAACGTTTTTAAATCTCGGAAATACCCCGCACTGTCACTGGACGAAGAGAGCGGCTGTTTTTCTCCTTCTTTTCGAAAAATTATTCTTCCCTGTTATTTAATTTTCTTATTTTTCTGTTTGAATAGTTGGATAATGGGCAGTCCTACGTGAACCATATGGGTGGGAAGAAACACATGACAGCGTTGGTCGAGATTCAGGTAAAACTTTCAAACTGAGGTTCCTCATAAAACCTGTATTTTAAAAAAAACATTTTCTTCGCTGCTTCGGCTCTTTGATAAGGNCTTTAAATATTACTTTCTTCACGTCTTGACAAAATCATGATGTCCGGTGAAAAATAAGCAAAAAAATTGGGATTTAAGGAGATAATTCAATCTGTTATCAATCTTTTATTTATCAAAAGAAATATCTATGATTAGACTAAATCTAACGAGCTAAAGAATGAGATGAGGCAGCAGATTGGGAAACACGAGGCATTCAGGTATTCTTAGAAACACAAAAAAAAATATTTTGGTCTCAAGACATAAATATAAAGTTAGTCCAGTCAATTCAGTTCAAAAATGTCAGTGGGAAAATAAACCCGGCAAATTAAGTTTTAAAAAGTAAATTAGATGAAAATATATTCTTAACATTGCAGCCCAAAAGTCACTAGCCCTTGTGCTTTCCTGATAGATACACTACTCTTCAGTTTTCACATTCACATTTAAAATCTGTTGTTATTCATTTTAATATTTTTCTAGAGCAAAGGATGCGTCCTCAAGAGAAGAAAAGAACCGATGCAATCTGTGTGAAACCATGGTTGTCGGACCCCTAGGTAGTAAAATAATCTATGGTTATAATTAATTATTTTTATTTTTCCCAATTAGTCTAAAAGATTATATTCTCCCCTCCTTTTGAACGTTTGAAACTGCCTGGAGTAAGTCTTCTCTGAAGGGCCGCACTGTCCATGATTACGGTACGGTGGGTAGGAGCGCCGACCCCCATTTTATCGAATTGCGGGTTGTTATTAATACCCCATGATGAACAGCTAGGCGTCCCTTAATTTTTCTTAAAATTCACCAACCAGGATGGAAAATCCGCAGAAGTAGTTGTTTTGATATAAATGTAAGAACAAGGAATGATAACATACGTTTTATAATTTTTTTCTTGTAGATATATGTATATATATATATACATATATAAGTATCTATATTATGTTAAGCAACATTTTAACCGTAGCATACTTGTATAAGCAGTCTCAGACCTTAATGTACTCAAATAAATTGTTAGATATTTTTTATTTGAATCTAACAGTCGAAGATTTTTATAATAAGATTAAAATAAAAAAGATAAATGACAAAAATTCTTTATTTTTTATTTCAGCTCATCACCGGAGTAAGCCTCATCACAAAGCATTAAAACTGTTCGTTCATCCTTTCTGCCCCGTATGCACTTTAGAACTTCACAATAGACAAGATTGGGAATTCCATAGGTAACAACTTATTCTAGGAAAAATAACCCTCAGCATCTTTTGGGGGTTTTTTATCATTTATTTTTTTATTATTCTTTTAGCGTTGGGGACAAAAACTATTTTCACCTCCTCAGGGCTTTAATCACATTTAACTTAAATGCGTTGTCTGATGTATAAAATAGATATCATGTTTTTGATCATGAAAACCATTATTTTCACTTGTAGTTTCTCTATTAAGTGACTAGGACATTCCTTGCTTTTGAAATGATAGAGAAATTATCGTAATTAAATAATTTTCAAGCTAGAAAAGCATTACATTATCGACCAGATGAGGGTTCTGGCATGCTTGTTTTAAATGTAAAAATACGACGAAAGTTTCTATAAAATAAGAAAAAACCCCTTTGTTTGCCTAGGTTTAGTTCTCAGCATCTGATGCTGGTAGCCCAGGAGAACAGGAAGGGAAAGATAACTCTGGCCAAGGACGAGGATTTCATGAAGGAGCTCGACAACCTTAAGAAATCAAATAAACAACGGGAATCAGAGAAGAAGGAAGGACGGAGCAAGGACTCGTCGAAAGACAGGAAAAGAGAAAACAGTCGGAGAAGAGATGATAAAAAGAAAGATGAAAATAAAAGTGACGATAAAAAGAGAGATGAGAAGAAAAGTGATGATAAAAAGAAGGTTGAGAGTAAGAAGGATGTGAAGGACGATGATGATGATATTCAAGAGATAACTATTATCAAGAAGGATGATAAACCAACAATTATCAAACAAGATGAGAAAGGATCTTTACCAACTAATTTGGTGAGTTCTGTTTTTCTTCAATTCTACCGAAATCTGCGACTCTACGGTCCCTATAAAAAATCCGGTTTCTATCCTTAATGAAGGTCATTCGATTTATAATGATAAAAAACTCAAGAATGAAGATTTGATCTCTGCTTAAGTCGCTCTTTTCCCCTCTTTTCGAATTCCCCCACTGGATTCCAACCAATGAACGTTCTCTCATTTTATAGTGCGCAACATTTCAAATTTCCCAGGTTTTGATTGGCTGTTGGGATTCTGCATTCACGACTCTGGATTAATCTTAGAAACTTTCCGGACTGAAAAGATTAAAATAATTCTAATATTAACAAAAAGAGGATATCAAGCATTGGTCTCGACATCCACAACTCTTAAGTATTCAGCTCTTATCTATTTATCAGTGGATATTACGATCATTTATCAATATACAGTGATAAAAAGATATCAATGGAATAGGAAAACGACATTATAGGAATAAATAAGTGAATTTAATATTGTTACAAAGCAAATAGGTTTATTAGACGCTTATTAAATCACTACTTTAATGAAATGGGTCTGGTTAAACTGCACAATTTCTGTGTCTCGGGCTCATTGGACTTTTTAAACGTTGTTTTCCTGTTCCAGATTTTTTTTGCCTATCACGGTACATATTAGATACAATTTATTGTTTGTAATTGTATATCCAGATTTTCTGGAAAATTTGAACAAAATAACTAAATGAGTTTTTCATTGGAGAATCCTTGTGGGCGCTGATTTCCTCCGACCCGTCTCCGGATTCTTTTGCAGAGTCTGCAAGAAACTGCTGCTCACTCAGGAGGATTCGGTTGCACACATGAAAACTAAACCTCATTGGGACCTTTGTGTCAAAGCAGACAAAGTTGCGAAGGCCGTCGCGGCAAAGCGGAAAGTGGCGGCAACGGGTACAGATGAACCTGCGGGGAAAGTGGCGAAGAAATCATAGAAATTTATGTTAAGATATTGTGTGCAGTTTAATCAATGTTTTGCAGTTAATAGAACCTAAAAGGGATTGATCACCTACTTGAAAGTACGCACAATTTTCTCACAGATTTGGTGGATTTCATGAACAATTTCTGAACATGGTACTTTTCCCAATGAGATTACAAGGGGTAAAATTTTCAGGAACATCGTTGCGTTGTAGTTACAGTCAATTTCCTTGGGTTCCTAATGAGCTAAAATTAAACCAAATGGTTTTTTTTCAAGAAGGTGACCAGTCTCTTTAAGACAACTTGCACAAGACTTCTATTTGTAAATGTATGTATTGTATATTTGTTGAAAAATCATTGGTCATTTTATGCATAACTATCAGGAGTGTATATTAGTTGTTGGACTCATATTTTTATCCCCCCCCCCCTTTTCTGAACAATATTTTTCCCCAAATCCACAACATAAAAAACCGGTATATTTTTACAGATTTCTGAAGACCGCGGAAACTCTAAAGAAGTTTACTTCGGAGGGGGCAGAGCCACCCTCCCTTTTTCTGAATCATATTTTTTTCCCAAATCTACAACCTAGTATAATAATAATAATGGAGAGTTTTGGTACACTAAGAAGGTCCCCTAGAGTTTTTTTAAGCATGTTTGATACTGTTTTTTTGTGTGTGTTTTTTCCCCTTACCTCTTCCACCTTTTCCCTTCCCCCTTGCCTCCTTTTCATTTCCCTTTTGCCCCTTTTCATTTCCCCTTTTCCCTTCCATCTTGCACCCTTTCCCTTCCCTCTTGCCCTTTTTCTCTTCCCTCTCCCCCTTCTTCCCTTCCCTCTCCCCATTTTTCTCTTCCCTCTTCCCCTTTTCCTTTCCTTCTTCCCCATTTCTCTTCCCAATTCCCACTTTTATCTTTCCTTTCCTTTTTCCCCTCCCCTTTTTCCTTTTCCCTTCCCTTTTTCCTTTTCCCCTTCTCTTCCCCCTTTTTCATTTTTCCCCCCCCCAAACTCAATGAGAGCACATATTTTTGCCGGGGGAAGGGGGAGGGGGGCAAACAGTAATAGATACACCTCTGGTCACATTGTGAGTAGGTTTGTTAACACTTTAAACGTACGGTAAATTTGAAATAAAGGCCATTTTATCAGGAAACTGTAATTAAAAAGGATTCAGTTTGATCCAGTTTCTTGGTAAGAAAATTTAATTCTACATTTTGTTTTGTAGATTTACAATGTCTAAACGAGGTGCGGATGAGGATCCCGGGGGGGTTGAGCCCCCGACAAAGAAGATTGTGTTTGAACCCCTGCAGCTCGGGTCCATCACCAACCTAGAGGAGTTGGACGTCAAAACCTTGCAGTTTCAGAATAGGTTCTAAACGTCTTTTTATACGCTCAAAATAAATTAAATGGTACTAACAAAACACAATAAAAAACGCGTAAATACTGATTGTATGAAAGTGAAAGCTCACAAACATTGGTTCTAAACATAACTTTGATATATTTGCTTGGCTGTATGCTTTGTTGGTTTGTTTGTTGCCAATGAACAATCTAGAAGGCTCCACAACTTAAATATTTTTGGTTTGTGAATTTATAATTGATATTGGACAAATGTTGAAAACGCTTCACATTGTAACCCTCTATGCTAAGATGGTAACACCTGATTTACAACGATACCATTAAAAACTTTCTGATCATGTATAAATTGGGTATCCATTTTTTGTATTAACTGTTTATTTTTAATTGCTGTTTTTGCGCATTAAAAGATTATTAAAGTTTAACTCTTTTCGGATCATGAAAACAATGGTTTATCTTCCACAACAAGGGTACCTTTATAAATAGGGCACTGCTATTTTTGCTTGGAGGGTCACTTAAAATAACGCCGACAGTCCCTTTAATTCATATTTGTTTAGGAAGCTCGGGCAGAGGTTAGCGTTAAAGAACAAGATGGAAGAGGAGCTCAGGGGCCGGATAGATCAGCTGGAGAAGAGACAAACTCAAGACGATGCCGTTATCAATGTTATTAACAGGTTAGTCAACAAACTTAAATTCAGAATTTGCCATATAAGTCAATTTTTTTTTTTTAATTTACAGTAGTGAAGGCAGTAAAAGTGATGTAGAATTTAGGGATATAATTTGATTTGTGAAATGATTTTCGAAGATTTTGGAATCATAACGGAAAAATGAACATCAATCATGAAAAGTTCACACCCTTTTACCAAATATTTATTTATATATTGAATATCGTGCATTCACCCTAATTTTGCAAGTGTTAACTTCTAAAACACAACATATAATATAATACGGTTGGGGGAGGGTGCAATTTTTAAAACTAAATACATAATTGTTAAATGATTCATATAAAAAACCTTCTCTGCCCATTTCTTGCTTACAAGAAGCAATGGAGAAACACTTTTTAAAATTAAAAAAAACTTTTAAAAATTAAAAAACTTTTTAATTGTTTTTGGTCCTAGAAAAAGCTGCGATTAAAATCATTTTTTTTAATCAAACTTTTATTTAACTGGCACAAAGAAAAGTAATTTCGTCATACTAACGTTATTAAAGGTTATTTGAATGCTGATCGCTATAAATATTGGTTGGTAGGTTGGTGTCTAGATACTGGAATCAGTTTAACGAGGATAATCAAATCCTATTGCAGAGGTTTTATACGAAGTGTTGGGATGAGATCGAGATTTGTAATTGAACGATTAATTAATTTATTTATTTATTTATTTCATTATTTATTGATTGATTGATTTATTAAGGTACTGGAATCAGTTGAACGAAGATATCCGTATTCTACTCCAGAGGTTTGATACTGAGTGCGGAGATGAGAATGAGAAGAGAGGAGAGAGTGAAGCTACAACATCCTTCCTCTCCCAGCTGGCAACCTGGCATAAAGAGGAACTAGACGAGAAACTAGCATCCAGGGTCCAGGTACAAACTCTTACAAGCAAAGGATAGATTTAATTTGGATCCGGATCCAGATCAAGATCCAGATTATAAGCATCTATTTAAGATAAACTATCTTTTTGACATAATAATCTAATTTTTAAATTATTTTTCTTTTTGGTTTTTTTGTTCATGCAACTTGAGTAACTATTCAGAAATGAGGAATTTTTCGATAATCTCTCTTTTTTCAGCAGTTCAGATCTAGTTTTAAGGGCAAAAGATTTCGATTGATATTTTACCCCTTGGATCCGGATCCTAAGCACCGGACTTACAAGTTTATTGTTTTAAGAGATAATTGACTTTTTATAGTTTAAAGGTATCTGCAAGCAACTTCTCTTTATACAAGGGTAAGGGGATATTGGATAATTATATGAAATACACCCATGAAATTTTACTCCCAACTTAATGTTGGAACCTTTTTAATCATTTAGTGTTGTCCATTTTCAACACAAAGCTCAATCTTTTAAAATATTTTTTGGGAACCCCGGTGTGATTTTCTGATACACTGTACAATGTATATTATCATTAAAAATAGTTTTTGAGTCTGGGAATTTTTTTTGATGGGGAAATAAATGATAAGTATAGTCCGAAAGTACCAAAAAGTATGAAAATCTTTCCTTCTGATGTCACATTTTTCAGTGCACAAATTATTTTTTTAATTCTTAAAATGATACACCCCTGAAATAGTATTTCTCTCTTCCAGGCTGAGAGCCCCAGTGTAGATGAAACAGTTCGTGAACTAAATACTAGGTTACAAGAGGAGAACAGGAACTTACATCAGGTAAATAAAAATTCAGATTTAATTGAAATAATAAAGCTTGAAATTTTTTAACAGTCTTAAAAGTTAAAAGTATTCGGAATAATTCGCGAAATTAACTGCTGAAACCGCGGTTTTCGGAGTTTTTGTCAGTCGGGCGGTATTTTAGACTAAGTTTTGATACAAAGTTCATTAATGAGGATTCAGTTTGTATTTTGTATTTTGAAATTGATGAACATTCCCTTCATTCATCAAAATAATTCTTAAATATTTCTCTTTTCATCGATTACTTTAATCATTCCCCACTAATCCCCTCGGGGCCCGAAGGGAGGGGAATGGGTTATGAAGATGAGGGGGAAAATTGAAAAACTAAGTTTTTTCATCTAACATACCTAACTTATGGGGGAAAACGGATTTTTAAAGATGGACTGGGGGAAAAATGATTTGAAGAAAACCTACACCCCTGAACTTTTTACTGACAATTTCATTGATCAAGGTGAACACGAAGCTTCACAACGAGATTCACTTCATCAGCTTGAAGAATGCCGAGATGACGGAGCTCTTGAACGCCGAGACAACCAAGGCCGCAGAGCTCATAAATAAACACGAGGACTCAGAATACGAACTTAGTAAGGTAAAGATCAAGACTAAAGATCAGTATGGATTCCAATCTACAATATTTTAGTTTTCTCGGGCCGCTTGAATTAAAGGCATTTAAAACACTGATTTCCTTAAATTGAGGCAAGCCTCTTTGGGTGCATCACCATTCTTCCCAGGTTGACCGACCTGTCGGTGGTGAAAGATGACCTGTTCAATCAGAGCATTGAGCAATATTTACATCACTAAATTTCAGTGATGGATAATAGCTAGATACGTTTAGACTTGTGAACATATTCCTGTGCCGATTGTCGAGTTTAGCATAGTAGAAACTTTTATTATTTTGTAATGTTTAAAAAGCATTTTTCGAAAAAGTCCAAACTGACTATCGCAAATGGCTATTTGTGGCCGCAAAACCGGTTATACAAGTGATTTTTTTATTTTTTCAAAATGTGTCGATATCACACTCAACTAAGCTTTCAATACGTTTTGCAGTAATTTGCAGTAAACTGACCGAAGATTTAGTAGCGTTTAGTGGAGAGTGATATGGGTATAAAAACCCGGCTTGCAAAGCCTAATTACTACGCAGCAAACGGTTTGTAAAAATATTCAAACATGAGATCTAGGAGCATTAAAGTGGAAACAATTAGGGAAATCAAAAAAATTCCCTAAATTTTCAGCTCTAATTTGGCCATTATTCATTATTTTGTACAATGGTTTTTCTGTTTAACATGGCTTGGAAAGACGGATCTTTTAAAGCCCCTATCGACAAATTAAAGAAAAAACACTTACTAGCGTTTTTATCACAAAAGGCCATTTTAGCGAAAAATGCCTCTTGTAAATATTTCTTAGAATTAAAAACACATTAACATTAGTATTTACTACTTGAAATGATTCCTCTCAATTTTGTGAAAAATCTTACACCCTTGACATATAATTTCATTTTTACAGTGTGGTGACTTTCAAGTAATTTTATTATTTATTTACATACAAATTACAGTTTAGATGAGAAATGACTTTGTAATAATCCAGGGGGGGTACACCCCCTCTAATTTTACTCAGGGGGGGGGGGTAATGGACTGCCCCCCCCCCGAAACAGCCTATGATAAGTTGCAAGTCAATCGAGTTAGAAGAGGATTTGCACGGTTGGGCAAGACAGTTTTATTTTATTATGGTCTTTTTTAATGTATCTCTGTAAACTGCAATATTTTTGAATACAATTTTAATATCGTTGAAACCTGAAGAATCAAAACCTCGGTGAATTTTAAAAATTTTAAAACAAATACGTGCGAATGTTCTTTATATGAAAAATTTTAATACTTAAAAAAAAAATTCGAGTGTTCCGAGCTTTATCCAAATTTATTTTAAAAAACCGTATCTGATCAGCTTCATATGTTATACGAGTTCCATTCAATAAAAGTAGTTGTTAACTTACTTCCTTGTTCTAGTTGAGAGCCCGGAATGATAAACTTGAAACAATGCTACTGGACAGTCAGGAGAAGCTGGCCGTATTTGTTGCTGCTAACCAGGGTAGGGAGCTCCGTACTACACAGGTACCATATCCATGCTGTTAAAAAGCTTGATTGAAACCGAAGGTAGTTTTCATTGTATTGACATAATCGCCTACCACCGTAGAAATAAATAAAAACCCGGCGAAAACTTTTTCGCACTTTATAACACCCATTAAAATGACATTTTTTTTACAAATCAGGTGTTTACTGGTACCGAGAAGAAGACGATAGAAGAATTGCAGAGGGAACTTGAGGACCAACGTGAGCTAGCGCAAAACAGGTTCATCAAATAAATAACAATAAGAGAAAGAGGTGGGCGGGGGGACTTTAATACAATTCATAACATTACCATTTAGTAATTAGTAATTAGTTCAAATTAGTAATTATATTAGTGAGAATTCAAACTTTGCTTTATAGCTTTATTTTTTCGCCCCCCCCCCCTTTATTTCATTCACGTACATCCAAATATAATTGTATAATATGGTTCAGAAGTCATTATCAGTGTAATGGAAGATTAATTGGATCGTCACATTTATGCTACCTTGATCTGAATCCATAAAGTGGAAATATATCAATCAAAATATCGAACACGATACGGTTTGCCCTCGTGGCATAGTTTTGAAATATTAGGTAATGAGATATCATTTATAACTTCTTTGTTCATCAACTGAAAACTGAAAATTTAAATAGCATATTGTATTTTTTTTTGTTTGCCAAACAGAAATATTGATTTTGTGGATCTGTATTCTGTATCCAGTAGCCGGTTTCGCATCTGAATTCCTAATGAAATGGATCCTACGCACTGCTGGTCATAATGTATATTGATGCCTTCTGAGCCCTGGACTTTGTTTACTTTTTTTATAAAAGTACTAGGCTTTTAGGATGTTTCGAGCCTACTTTCTATTTCAAATTTAAATTTTTGCTCAATCTTTGAGGGATAAAAGCCTAAATCTTTTTGCAGATAAAAAAAATTTTCGGGATTTTTAAAATTTTTCGAAAACAATAATCTTTTGGAGACATGTCAAATTTTTTGGTAATTCTGAGCATCCATAACAAATCAAAAGGGTCATATGACGTTTATGGATTACAAACAGACGGACAAGCAGAGTATGTATTGTATACTGTACTAGCTTAAGAACCCAACGCTGCCAAGGTTATTAAAAGTTATTCCGACCGTTTACCCGCAATTGAACGATTTTACGGGAAACTAAATTTTCGCTATTTCAACTTGGAATTTTAAAACCAAGCTAAAAACATTCCTGGATCTCCTGAGTTATCCAATCAAAATTTGAGGCAAATGGGTTCAAGGGTTCCTGAGTTATGATCGGACAAACAAGCAGTCCAACAGAGATTACAACTTTATATATATATGTTTAAATATAATGTTTTATCTAGAATGGGTGAATTAGAAGGTTTGAACACTAAGTATAAAGAGTGTATGCAGAATGTTGAGAAGCTAAGAATGGATTTAAGGTAAGGTTTTTCTTTTTTTCTAGGTTAGTTTTGATTAAAAAAGAAATAAGATTGTTATTTAATTGTAAAAAGGAAAAAAGCCTTAAAAATTAATTATTAAGGTTAACATTTTTTTTCTTGGTTTTTAATAAGTGTCAGTATTTCTAATTTGTGTGCATTTCAGTACGCTCCCTGAGTATGTAGTCGTAGAAACTACAGAGCACAAGTGCCTTCAGTCACAGTTCTCTGTCCTCTACAACGAGGCTATGCAGCTTAAGACACAGCTTGAAGAAAACAGGTTTTTTATTTACTATTAGCAATTTTGATTTTGTTTTGATATGGAGGTGGGTTATTTACATATTTAACTAGTTACAGACAGAACTCTCCCGGCAACTTTTGAAATTGAAACCTTGGTTGACTTTTTAGCTTGTTGGTTGAAAAAAAAAAGTTTTAAAGGCTGAATAATTGATTAATGGATTTGTTAATTAATTGATTGATTTTTGAGTGATTGTATCATTGATTAATTGATGTGGTCATTGATTAAATGATTATTTAGTTGATTTTTTTATTGGTTGAGTGCCAATTGAAATGATTTAGATCAATCCTGCAGCAGAGCAAGAACTCGCATATGCGTCAAATTGAACAAATGGAGTCTGAGGAACTACTGGCGCAGAAGAAACTGAGGACAGAGGTTATTCAGCTGGAGGATATGTTGGCACAGGTTAGTTTTAGCTTAGAAATAAAGTTAGACCCCCTCCCCCTTTCACCTTGTCCTAAATATGGGCTAAATCTGCTATGACCTGAAACCTACAGAATTGTGGATTTTGAGGTCAATGCTTGATCTCTCTTTTTCATGAATCTCAAGGTTAATTCAATCTTTAGTTAATATCCATAAAACTCGGGGGGAAAGTATAAAATTCAACCAATCAGAATCCGGGAAATTTTCAATTTTCATACCATTTAATGAGAGCACTCAGCTCATTGGTTAGAATCCTGTAGGGATGTAAAAAAGAGAGCGGGTTATTCTAAAATCAAAAGTTTCCACATCGGATATTCAATTCTGAAGTTTTCAGCTTTGTACATAGAAAAATTAATAACATTATTTTTCGGGAGTTAAATGAAATTTTAAAACATTTTAAAATCTATTCTGTTCCTTAACTACAAAAAGCCTCTATTCTAACCAACCCTGCCTCCTGTAGGTGCGGAAGGAGTATGAAATGTTGAGGATAGAGTTTGAGCAGAACCTGGCGGCCAACGAGCAAACCGGGCCCATTAACAAGGAGATGAGGAACCTTATCACAACCCTGCAGACACATAATACACAGCTCAAGGGAGAGGTTGCCAGGTAATGAAACTTTTTTAAAGGTAAAACTTGGTGATTTTGGCCCGTTCCCATGATTATTTGAAAATATTTTGCCCTGATCGGTTAAGCTACTCATTAGAAACCATAACATCTCTGTATTTTTGTTGAATTTCTTACGTTATAGTTTAGATTTTACAAATCTTTAAATAAAGTCGTAATCTCTTTTATCGAGTTGTTCCTATGTCCGATTATATCTCAGATTTTCTTGACCGATTTATCATTCAAACCAGTGAAATTTCTTAGCCTGTGTTAAGAAGTCAATATTGAGTTGAATTAAGTTTGGATTCCAGACAAAGTTGGGTACCCAAGTTAGCCAAACCTTCAATTAAAATTTTTAATACGTCAAACATTAAGACTTTGGCTTCAACTAGTCAGCTATCTAGCGACCCTGTTATATTACACTGTACAGTATACTGTATGATGAACTGTACATACACTGTACACCCATTGTTAACAGTACAGTAAACACTACACTGTACGTACAGTGTGTACGAACCATGTATTTTCTAGGTATAAGCGTAAGCAGAAGGAGAAAGACTCTGAGCTTGCTAAACTACGGAAGGAGTGTGACGAGTTAAGAGCTGCGGAGATCAGAGCTCTTAAAGCTAAGAAGGAGGAGATGAAAGAGAACGAGGATATTAAGGTTAATTTCAACTCATTTTATAATTTTCTTCATTGTTATCCATTTATCCGAAGTTATCACCAAGGTTAACAAAGCATATTAGAAGGAATACTATTTCAATAACTTAAGGTAGTCTGCTAATAAAAAAAATAAAATAATTTTTTATTTATTTATTTTATTTATAAGGCAGGGGGTGTAAATGAATTCTTAGACCTATATTTTTGCCCCCACCCCCCTTTCGAAGTTTTTTTTCTCTCCAAATGCACACAACTTGAAAGAGGTGTTCTCTATGTATTCTGTACAGGACAGTGTTAAGCAGGGGGGCAGAGCCCTTATTGCAAAGAACTTTTTTGGATTAAAGATTTATATTGAGCGTGTTGGTGTCCTGAAAATAACCTGTGATTTCTTTACATTTGATTTTTTTCAGTCTTAAATGTCCAGCTTTTAAGAGAGGAAAATATGACGTTGCTGTTGAGGGAATAATATTATATTCCCCCAAAAAGTTTTGCTCCTTGTTCCTCCTCTCTTCCCCCTTTTCCTTTTCTTTTCCCCCTTTCCCTTAAAAGAGAAAATGTGTCATATTTTTTCCCAAAAAGGGTTTGATTAGTTTCCTGTCTGAGCCAAAACTATCAGATGAAAAACAAATCCCTTCCTCCAGGGAGAAGGAAATGAAAAATATACAACCCTGCTGTAAGAGAGCCCCTCTTTTACGTTGAGCTCTTCAGATTACAGCGGATATGAAAGTTTAAAAGAAAAAAGTTTGGAATAAATTTGGTCGTATATTAATCTTAAGAGCCTAGGTTAGAAAAAAAATCATTTTCCTTATTTAAATATGCACTTCTACAATTTGTCCCAAAAACTGGTTTAAGTTGAAGCTTAAGTCAAACTCTAAACCTGCATTTGTCATGTATCTTTTGGAAGCTTTATTAGTAAATTGATGTGAGCTCTCTCAGTCTAACCAACTGCCATTCTGTCTAGTCGTCTAAACAAGCATGTTACCATGTATAATGTATATTGCATATTAATTGGAAATTCAAATGTAAGATATAGATTGGGCTGAAAATCCAGAAATTGGGAAAGAATTGAAATTCTGACTCTAAAGAAGGATGCTTCAAGGAATTCCTGTAAAATGTGATTTGATTTGATTTGATTTAATTTGATTTGATTTGATTTGATTTGATTTGATTTCTGAAACTTTTATTTCTAAAGCTATTTATTTACAGGAGGAGATTAAAAGAGAAGATGACATAAAGAAAGAGGACGATGAGGATGTTAAGCCAGGTCAGATTCATTCAAATGCTGAGAATTGAGGGGAATACATTATTAGAATCACGCAGAACTTTAAGTGGCCCTCTACAGGCAAACCGATATTTGAACGAGTTTGATATCTTTCCCCTATATCCGTAAATTAAACCTAATCTAAGGGGATGGTGGAGTTAAGGCATGTTTGATGTAAGGGGGGGTGGGCCTGCCTTCATTTTTGGTTCAAATCTTCCATTTTTTTGGCTGCACGCCTAATTAGTGTTCGAAATTCCTAAAATAAAATAAAATTGAATTTTAATGACCTCTAATGACCTCCACAAATAGAAAATATTTCAACTATGGCTTAATGCATATCAAACGAAATCTAGGAACCCCAGGAATACAGTTGCAGCAACAAATCCAGTGTTTGACGTTCTACTGACCTCTAATGACCTATAAGGACCTCCAAAAATGAAGATGTTTTAACTATGGCTTTATGCATATCAAACGAAAGCTAGGAATCCAGGGAATACAGTAGTAGCAACAAATACAGTGTAAATTGTAAACCAGGTTTCTGCAGTTTGTATATAATATCCATCCCCAATTTTCTCCTTTGCATTATAATACATGCATTATCATGACATATGTTTTATAAATTGTTCTGCATCATATTCAATATTCATAAATGATATTCTAGCTGTTATCTTTTTTCTAGCTTCTTTAATGATTGACGCTAAGGATTCTCTTATTTGTAACTGAACTATTTCTATAGAAGCGACCTGAACATTTATAGAGATTGCAATTGTTAATTACAAAATCCTTAATGAAATAAAAGAAAGAATAAAGGCGACAATTAGATTGATTTCGCAGTTTTCTTGTTCTCAGTGTGACTGTATGAATGTAGCTCTAACCTTGAGCTCCTGGTCTCTCTGAGCAAGTTTGCTCTCAAGTTCCCGTATCTTGTCTCCCTCAGATACATCCGCACTCGTCCCGATCCTGATACTGTCCCTCTTGTGAGGGGTCATTGACGTCCGAGAAGGGGTCTTCGGGCATTCCTAGTGCGATTATATCAATGCAACGACGACGACTTTTTATTTCAGTTTTGATTGTTTACAAGCTTTTTTTCGAATTACAAGTTTACAAGTTATCAAAGAGAAGCTTTTTTATTGACAGCTTCTCTTGACTTCAATGTTTAGGTGCAAACATGCTAACAGCTAGATACAAATCAAATTTGAAATAGAATGTCGTCTGCATTGTCTTGGTATAAGCGACAACGACTGTATAAGAAACTAAGAAGGGTTGAATTAAACAAAGTTTTGCGGGATTTCCAACTTTTGGTAAAAAAAACAAGAGCGAAAAAAAGTTTCAGCTGATATGACTAAGCTTATGTGTCATAAAAAGTTCGGTGGACTGACCATACATTAATACATTAACAAGCGATCAATATAAACATTTAACTATAATTAATGTAATAAAGAAATTGAATAAATGTAAAACTCAATATTGATCCGCGAATCCCATAAAATAAGACAGAATTAATCTGTACGGTCGTCTTTCTTGTTTTTAAACCAAAGATGACATGTTGGAATTTTTAAGGCAAATATATGATATTTTAAAGTACATTAAAGTACATTTTAAAGTAAATTAAATAAAGTACCAAAAGGATGTAGAGATGGGAGAATTATTGAAAATGTATACTTCAAACAATCCCATGTCGAAGTATCTACCTGATATTCCTTTTCTGCTTCTAGTTTCTTTAGAGTTAATTTTGTTTGGTCTAATTGCTTGTTGGACTTCTCCAGCTGGCCCTGCAGGGTAGACACCTGTACTTCCTTTGTCTTCACCTCCGACCTAAACAAAATATTCGCTTTCTTCCTTCTCTCATTTATCTTCCCTCTTCTTACAATTTACTAATATTTTCTTCTAGATTCTCTCTTCTTTAGAACCCTTTTTAATTCTCGGTTCTCTTCGTTCTTCTTTCCTTACTCATTTCTCTTCTCTTTTTGACCCTCGGTTTTACAAAGGAACTGAACACTTGCCACAAATTCTAACTTTCTCACACTTATATCTTTGCAATCTGATGTTGTTTTCCTTATATTTACCAAACTATCAAATACAACATATTAAGTAGTCAAAGTTTGAAATATCAAATGTTCATAACAAAAGGTTTAAAAGATTTGAGGATTAAAAAATTAGATTTTGTGGCAAGTGTTCCGGTCCTATCTTGTTACTTTCCTGTTTCTTATTATCTCCTTTTCTTTTTCATTATTCTCTTTTTGGTTTTCCCCTTTTTTCTTTTCTTTTTACCTTAATTTCCTCTTTTTCTTTATCTTTTCCATTCTTTTTTTCTTTATCTTTTCTACCTTTCCTTCCCTCGCCATATTTTTTTCCTTGTTTTCTTGTCTTCCCTTTCACAAATAGTTTTATGTCTCTTTCTCATTTCTTTAATTTTCTCTCTCCTTTTTTTAATCCTTATATTTTATTTCACCTTAGAATCTGATATTTTTCGTGTAGTTCTTGACATTGTTTCTGAACCTGGCAATAAATTCATGATTTAAGATTATTTATTTTAATCCAATAAAAGTTTAAATATGAGAAATGTGAATTCTGTTATTAAAGAATACGATCAATTCCAAAAACGAAATAAAACCTTGTTCAATGTCCGGTACAATTTATTAGTTTTTTTCTAAACTTTTTGAAAATTTCATTCAATAATTTTGGGTTTAATGTTTCTCCAGGTACCTGTGTTAGCTCTAGTTGAATATTTCCGTTCTCCTTCAAATCTTCATCCTTCTAAAATTATATTTATTAAACTAGGGCTCCATTTATATATCTATATAACTGTAATCTCTTTTTGTTTGTTTATTTGGTTGGATGTCCGATCATAACTCAGTTCAATTTGACCGATTAGATCGGAGAACTCAGGAGACCCACGGGAATGTTCTTAGCTTGGTTTTGAGTTTCTTAGTTTAGTGGGCCCATTTGTTTCAGGAAAAATAACTAAACTCGTAATTTGCGAGCAAGCGCGGGTAAATGGCGGGAATAACTATGAGTTCCCTCGGCAACGCCATCGGTTCTCAAGCTATAATATCTGTATAAAGTAGCAATCTCTGTTAGAATGAACGTATGTCCGATCATAACTCATAAACCCCTTGACCGATATGCCTCAAATTTTGTGGATCGCGCTCGAACTACGTAAAAAACTTAATCAAATCTCCAAGCAAATCTGGTTTCCAACAATATTACGTAACTAACAACGTAAGATGAAGAAAGGTAGATATCAGGGTGGAACCCCGTAAATAATAAATTAATGATAACTATTGGTTTAAACACCTGGGAATAATTCTTTTAGTTTAGATTAATCAAATGCAGGCATCAATTGAATAGTTGCGGAAGGGGGGCCGAAAGTAATAAAATTACGCTAAAATCCATTTGTCTAGGGGCTCTTTAGATTAAATGTTATTTGCAAGGTCTGCAAAGTTATAGCAAATATTTAAAATATGAAAAGATATATTTGCGTTAAGTCACCCTATCCTGCATGAAGATGTTGGTTTTAAAATACAAAATATCTAAAATTTGCAAATTCATTTAGCTCGTGTGAAGCTTATGTAAATAAACCTAAAATGTTGGTAAACAATTTTCTTCACATGCCTAGTATTTCATATACTTGTTTACCATGCAGAGTAAGAACTAAATCAGGATCTTCAGGATGCAACGCAGTTCAAAAGCGACATAAAAAGCTGCGATATTACTTTTAAAATCGTAGTAAAATAGGAATACACTAGAAATTACTTCAAAAATAACATGTTTTAAGTATAAATCATGAAAAGATTATATTGAGAATTATTTTTAAATATCCTAGATTAAGTAAATTACTTAGATCTCCCTTGAGATTTATTAGATATCAGAGCAATTGGCTTTATTTGTGGAGAATTTGTTTAAAGCACATTACAGGGTTACTTAATAAAATGTGAGAAATAATCAAAGAAATAAATGTTTGCTTTGTGTTTTGTATATTGTATATTGTATATAAAATTCTTTGAATATATATAAATATATATAGAATGATACATGTTTTAAATGGCAGAATTAAACTAAATGATGTGTTTAAGTACAGTGTTTACCAATGTTTCTAGTATCTACGCAGAGTCTACACTAAACCATGTCCGGGACAAAACTAACATTGAACTCTGTGACGAACTGTATTATAAATATTTCTAGATATCTATCATATACCAACTACAGGATCACTCAATACTAACATACCTTGATATATCTACAGGGTGTATCAATATAGATGTACCCAGCGCGCTCATCAACCTACGTTTTCTGATATTGATAACATAGATATTTTTTTTATTTGAAGTATAACTTTTTTTGCAAGAATAAAACCCCTGAATGGTATTCGTTCCTGATGATTTTTTGTCTATTGTAGCAAGTAAAGGTTTTGATATATCTACTATTTGTTTTAAGATCCGATATTACAAGATTTAAATCTTTTATATAATTTCTTCATAAATCCAATTTGAAATCTGTCTGTCAATCTAATCAGGAGGTCTGGACACTGGAGAATTTTAAACTTGGAATACAAAACAATACTATAATATTGGGGGCATTGGTTACATGTAGGTTGTTATTAACATAGCCAGGATTTATTTAACGCAAAAGGGTCACATTTGTTCTTGACTCTTCTTCTCTTGAAATTTTAGAGGCTTATGTCAACTCTAGAAGTTTGTTGATTTTTGTGTTGCTATGATTTTAGGTTTATTATTTCTTTTTTGTCTTTTAGAATGAAAAGTATGAATAATGTACCAACCTTTCTTTTAAGTTTATCTAGTGCCTGTTGTAACCCATCTATCTGAATCTGCTTCTGAGTTCCATTGTTAACACTCTTCTGTAGATTCTTCTCCAGTTCATCAACCTATACAGTAAACAATCAGGGGTTACTGCAGATATCATTGCTGGAAACATGAAAACAAGAAACGTAGATGCTAGATATGTAATTACAAATAACATTTAATTAACGCCACAGAACTATCATTTCTTGTTTTTATATAAACACTCCTCTTCCCCTTGACCTACATCTATGTTTTTTCATCAAATTATTAGTGAATATAAAGTTTTCAAAAGTTTAGTTTAGATAACTTCCATGTTGATGAATATTATATAATAGTTTTCTAAGCCTATTTATAATCAATGGATACATAACTGGTGTCCAAGGTTTCTGATCGCAGCTTCTAAGAGATATAAGTAATTTACTGAAACATAAAAATTTCTGTGTTGAAAGATAATAAAATAAAGGTAATGTAATTTTGTATGAAGATGAATGAATAACCCTGAAATAAAAAGGCGCGTAGAAAATGACACCTGTATATAAATTTGGCTTGTCTGTCTGTTTGTTTGTCTGTTTGTTTGTTTGTTATATCCAATAAACGTCAAAACGGCTGAACCGATCGGGCCCAAATTTTTTGTGGGACATCTAGGGACCCCAGGGAAGGTTTATGAATGATCAAAATTTTAAAAATTTATGTTTTAAAGTTTTTTATTTTTGAAACATTTTGAAAATGCGCAAAAAATTTTATGAAATCCGCAAACTTTTTTTGTTTTTGTTTTATACTGTACAAAGAGAAAATGTTCAGAGATAAAGCCACAATTAAAAGTTGAAATAGAAGATGGGCGCGAAGCGCCCTAAAAGCCTAAAATTTCTAGTTATAAAAATGTCTTTGATTGTATTCATTAATATGGGATTATTGGAATATGATGTTAAAACGTTAAATTATGGAAACTAATAAATGAACAAATTCGGAAATATGTCAAGTTTCACATTCTTTAAGATCAAGATTAATCATACTGAGGAGTACAATTGAAGACAATAGATTGATTTGGATCAGTCTCAGTACAGNTTTATTGCATTGTTTATTCTATTTAAATTATCTAAATTCCCCTGGGCATATCAAGAATAATAAAATGAAATTCTAATGCAAAACCTGCATTGAAGTTCCTAGCTAAGGAAAAAGACTATATTTTGAATATGATGTTATGTAGTTTTTAGTTTATCTAGGGCTCTTCAAACAAGTAAATTTTAGACCTGTCGGGCTGTAGCTCAATCTGAGTCAATTAATAAAAGAATTATGGACTAGTTTTCATCTTTTTCAAAAACACAGATCAGCTGTTGGACAATTGATCTATAATCTCTCTAATTATCTGACGGCCCGAGCATCGTGACTATTGGAATAAAGAAACAAGCACTCAACTCAAATGTGTAAAGGAACTTAACACTTGCCAAAATTTCCTAAACTCTATATCTTTGCAACCAAATAATGGTTTATGATTTTTCAAAATTCACAGTTTAAGATATCAAAGCTGTTAACAACGTCAGGTTTCAGAGACTTAGGCTTCATAAGGTAAGTTAATATTTTTTGCTTTAAATCATGCAACAAGAAAAATCCCTACTGTGTTAAACATAATAAAAACTATGGCCATTTTAGTATAATAGTTCTTGCTTCGCAAAATTGCTTGCTCAAACCTAGAAAATGAATACCCTGCAGGTTTTCATTATTCTGTCACATATATCCATGGACTGCTAATGAAAAGTTGCACACTTGGATTAGGTCAACTTTATAGAAAATATATATACCCTGCAGGTTTTCATTATTTTGTCATATATATCCATGAACTGCTAATGAAAAGTTGTACACATGGATTGGGTCAACTTTGAAGTGTGGCAATGTCTTAGTCTTTGAATTTACCTCACTGACACAATTATACTTTTATGTCGCTCTTTACATGTAAATACACCTCAGCTAATCTAAGGTGAACACTCAGTCTATAGGGTAAAACTAATAGAAATAACTATACCTTCTGAAGTTGTATACTGGAGAGGCCATCCTTCCAACCTAACCCTGTCATCCAGGACATCTTGGAGATAGATCACTACACGCATCAATCATATATTTTGTTAAAGGGATCCATAACACTATGGAATGATGAGACGGTAGTTCTAAAAGTACACTGCCCAATTACCGTGTTTTTTTTGTTCTTAAACTATTTCAAACTAACTTTCTTCGTCTTCCTCGTCTACAGTTTTTTGTGTCCTATTACTGATTGAAATAATGGTATAAATTAATAAGTACCCTCCTACAATAATGATTTTAAAAATCTATTTTCCCCCCTAAAAATCAAATATTTTTCCTAATTCAGCAAATAAAAACATTACCAGCTTCTGGCGAAAAAATGATTTCCCATGAAAATAAACCTCCTAGATTAAGATCGAGTACATAGAAAATTATTTATTTTATATTATTCTTCATATATTTAATATAAGACCCAAAAACATTTTTCTCAATTTCCAAATACTAAAAATTCTGGAAAAACAAATACAAAATAATAATTTGTTGATATCCAAAAGAATAGACATACACAATTTTTTTTTGGCGCGATCCCATTAGCTGAGATGGGAAATGACGGAAAATAAAATATGATCATAATCGATTCCGATTGTTTACTATAATTAACCCTAACCCCCTGGATTTTTACATTTTTAATTTAAAAAAGAAGAAAGGAAACCCATAGGCCGATTGTTTAATTAATTTCTGAAAGATTAAAAGTTATTTTCCTTTTAAAATATTTGTGATTTCCTCTTGTCAACTAGGTAAAATTTTTTATCTCAACTGAAAACATTATATCATCAATTATCTGAAATAAATCATATTAAATTAAGATTAGTTTCACAAACTTAACTGTTCACTGTTCAGTATTCATGCAGCATGGGTCAAATTTCTTCATTTTCAAAACCATTTAAACAATTTTTCGTCCTAGAATTTAAATATATTGTTAAAATATGTAACTTATGTTTATCTTGTATTATTTCAGGGTTAGGTTATGTTAAGACATTTTGTGGGCAAAGTGCTGCGGTTGATGCACGGAAGCCGAGCGACGCGCTTTAGTTCCAAAATCTTTTGCTAGGAAAATATCAGCTTGTATCCTAATTTTGCCCACCCCCTTTCAAACGATTGACTAGGTAATATGTAACACGACTATAGTTTGATGTGTAGCCGAAGTGCGGGGCTCGGCCACCTAGTCCAAAATTGTATTAACCAAACATAACCCTGAACAATGTTATAATGCAAGGAACGTTAGTTGCAGTTGGGTATACTCTGCGTACATATTAAAACCAGTTTTCTCTGGGCGGAATTTGTTAACAAGAATAGATGCATCAGTGTTCGTTTAGTATTCGAGGAGGATAAAAGCATTGAATTATGAAAACTTTGCGTATATTCATAGAGAACTGTTTTAGGCCCCCCCCCCCCCTCCTATCAATTTTGTTACATGGATCTTATATGAATTAGACATGGATATAATTAACCATGTGGCCGCAGCGCTCGGCCCCCTAGCCTGTCATAGCCGCAGCGTTCGGCCCAGAAAGTGTCTTTAATAACCTGACCCGTGGCCACAGCGCTCGGCCCCCTAGCCTATCCTAGCCGCAGCGCTCGGCCCAGAAAGTGTCTTAACCTAACCAAACTCTAGATAATAATAAATTAATAATAATTTACTAATTTCGTCATGTACAAAATTGATAGGAGGGGGGGGGGGGGGGGTCCAACAATCGTTCACTAGGACAGACCCAAATTTCGATAATTCACATAATAGTTTCCTATGATAGAATATTTCTTTGATTTTTATGCAAAAGATGGATCTTGTGTTTACATTACCGCCCCCCGCCTCCTATCAATTTTGTACATTTGTGTAATTGATCATGAATTCGTTCTCTGGAGAGACCCAAAAAATCTAATAATAAAATTGAAAGTAATTTTTATTCGAGGTCATGCACAAAATAGAAGATGGACCCCAATTTTAACTGATCATCTCAAAAACGTCCTTATTGTTGGAAAACAGATCTTTCGTTTAAATTAAAGCATCCAGAGAATCTGCAAAGCCAACTTACTAAAAATTATCAAGCATGAATACAGTCACAGAAGAGATGTGTAATAATCAGTAAATTTCCTAGCAATTAACATTCATTAGTGTTATAACAACTGGATTAATCACATGAAAAGTGAATAATATTCCCATAAGCGAGTGGAAAATACCGAACACCGATGTACACTGTTTAATGTTGTTTAAATTTTATTTGAAATGGCGCGCTCATCTCCTTCATCTCCTATTGGCAGAATAATTTGAAGTCTCGTCTGTGATTGGTTGGATTGCATATTCTATTTACCTGCCTTTATAGTAAGGAGAGCGGAGCGGATTACGTCATTACTCATTTTACAGTAATCCCCAAAATGGAATGGTGCTATGTAAACGCCTCAACACGGAAACGTCTCAACGCGGAAATGCCTCAAAAACCGGTTTTGAGGAATTTCCGTTTTATTTTGGGAAATCCTTCAAAACTGGAAAAAGTTGAGGGATTTCCGAATATTTTTGAGGCGTTTCCTAATATTTAAAGTTGAGACGGTTTCCTCTTTTTTTTTTGAGGCGTAATTCCGTTTATTAAAAAAGTTTTTAAACTTGAGGCGAATTTCCACTTTTTTTGAGGCGTTTCCGTTTTTTGATAAAACTTTTGAAACTTTTTTTTTGTTGAGACGTTTTCTGTTCTTTTTGAGGGCCGGGCGCGTTTCCGTTTTTTTAAGAGGCGTTTCCGTTTTTTGAAAAAAATTTCTAAAACTTTATTTTTTTGAGGCGATTCTTCTTTTTTTAAGGCGTTTCCGTTTCTTGAAAAAACTTTTAAAACTTTATTTTGTTGATACGTTTCCTCTTTTTTCCGTTTTTGAAAAAAGTTTTTAAACTTTATTTAGTTGAGGCGTATCCGTTTTTTTTGAACTTTTAAAACTTTATTTAGTTGAGGCATTTCCTCTTTTTCCGTTTTTAAAAAATCTTTAAAAATCTTTCGACCCGGCCTTTCCAAAATAATTAATCTCCTCCCAGAAATTAAACACCGAGGTTTCAAAGAAATAGGGATTAGAAAAAATGTGAAAAACAATTTTTAGAGGTTTAAGGGTTTTAATTGTTGAATTTTTGGGTAAAAACTAAAAATAATTAAAAATGATGAAAATTTGCCTGTTAATGCATCCAATCTTTTTGGTAATTTCCTAGAAAACGATTTTGTAAAAAATAAAATGGTCATGTACAAAATTGATAGGATGGGGGGGGGAGGGTGGGGTCCAAAAAATTGTGAACTAGGCCGGACCCATCTTTTCTTTTTTGATTATCACTAATTTTATTCAATGCAATAAGACGACGTTGATCTATTTAAGTTTTGCAGATTTCTAACAAAGTTATTTAAAAATGTCTGTCTGATTGGTAATGTTACAACGTCTATACGCAACATCCTCTATACTGACCTTTGTACAACAGTATTAACCGTTTTTGTTTCATGATTTGCAGATATAAATAATTTTTAGTTATCTATATATTAAGTCAAATAGCTTTGTCAAATAAACATTTTAGTCGTTTTATCTAATTACAATTTTTTTAATAATATAGACTACTCAGGATCGTCGTGATCTTTTTAAATAATTGCCCCAAGTATTCACTATGTGTGTAGGATACA